GAGGTTGCTGTGAGCTAGGATGACGCCATGGCACTCACTCTAGCCCGGGCAACAGAGTGAGACTCTGTCTCAAAAAAAAAACCAAAAAAACCAACAAAAAAAAAATGGCCATGTTCTTATAACTATTCAAGTAAAATTTAAATGAACTTTCATGTTTTTAAGCTTGTTCCCTATTAATTAGCTATGGTAAATTATAATCTGTATCTTTTATTGATTATTCTCAGAGCATATGTGGTTTGGTGCTTTGTCCTTGGGGGTAGTGAAAATAGTAGGAACTTGTGAACTGATCAGTTTTTTTCATGCCTAAATCTGATCCACACATTTTATTATTTTCCATTCTGTGTAATAAGTTAACCAAAACTAGTTCGGTGTTTAACCCACACACACTTTATTCAGAAAATTTTCCTACTAGTAACACTATCTTAATATTAATAGAATTATCTTAGCTTTTCTTAAGATACTCAGTTCCTTTGATTTTTGTGCCTATAGAAAATTGGGGATGAACTGAAAGTGTTAAAAACTTTTTTTAATAGGTTATTTTATCTGATGCTAGTGCTCCTGGTGAAGGAGAACATAAAATCATGGATTACATTAGAAGACAAAGAGGTAAACCTTCTAAGTATTTTATTACATGTTCTTAATAGAAAATAGATAAGCCATATAGAAAATATTTGGTAAGATGTGATATTCCTGTGGTATATATTTATATAAAAATAATATATATTTCTCCCCTCTTTAGCCCAGCCTAACCATGACCCAAATACTCATCATTGTTTATGTGGAGCAGATGGTAAGTTTCTTTGGGATTTGCTTCTTTTGGATTAAATTGTGGCAGGTTGCCAAGTTGGGTTGTAGTAATGGATTATTCATGATTGCCTGGAAATTTTAAAATGCCTTGGTTATATTATGTTCAAGAGGGAACTAATACTGAGTTGTTTAATCTGTGATCAATGATCACTTGTCTTTAATTTTTTTTTTTTACATTTTTCGATCTTTTAATTTAACTGCTCGTACCTTTGGAATAGAAAATTTCCCAAGTGTTTAATCCTGAGTGCTAATCTGTGTTGTATGTCCACGTATCTGGAGGACTTCTTGTTGACTGAGAACTGCTGGGAAATTTTAGGCTTTTGGGCATTCGTGTGTGCTCATTTGGGCTTTTCTTTGTGTTGGTGTCTTATAGTACTTTGTTTATGGTAAGGATCCTCTCAAAGTGCTCACTGTTTAGTGTTTTTCTCATTGTTGATTGATAGCTGATCTTATTATGCTTGGCCTTGCTACACATGAACCCAACTTTACCATTATTAGAGAAGAATTCAAGCCAAACAAACCCAAACCATGTGGTCTTTGTAATCAGTTTGGACACGAGGTCAAGGATTGTGAAGGTTTGCCAAGAGAAAAGAAGGGAAAGGTAAGAACTTTGAGATGGTAGTTGCCTCATTTTTTTTTTTTTAAATTCTATTATCCCGGTAAAACATATAGCACGAAATATACCATTTTAACTATTTTTAAGTGTATAATTAAATAGCATTATGTATATTCAAGTTGCCTCATTTTTAAAATGAATGAAGAGAAGATTATGCTTGATTAACTTTTTTTACCTGCTTGCTCTGTTGCCCCTCCCTCACAGAGATGTATCTTTTAAAGCACTTTAAAATAAAATTGCATTCAAAAGCATGTATACACTTGTTTTTCCTACTCTGTTCTTTTTCTTTTTCTTTGTTTCTGTTTCTGTTTTTGTTTTTTCAGACCTGGTGAGCAGTCTCTGTTATTTTTCTAACATAGCTTGTATCTACATCAGGCTTAGCTCTAGTAGATAGTAATGCCCATTGCATGTGATTTATTTATAGAAGTTCTTTGTTTCAAATGGTTACTCTTCTTAAAAGGAACTACAAATCAAATTTATTAAAAACTTCTTGATACTTTTAAGTTACTCCCAGTTTCTGTGTATTTTTGGGTTCACTTAGTTATATCCAGTTTCCTTTAAAGGTGCTTCTGTCTTAAAAGAATATGGTGCTTTTTTGAAAGACATTCTTGAGTGAAAAAGGTAGATAAAAAATAAAATATGCTATATGATTTCAGATATGCAATACAATAAAGACAATGTACATGTATCTGCACATATATTCAGAGAGAAGGGGCTAGAGGAATATACATTAAAATAT